CCCAGCCAGCTTTGCTGGCTGGGGCATTCTGGGAGTTGAAGTCCTCCAGGCTTAAAGTTGCCAAGGTTGGAGACCCCTGCTTTACAGGAAGCAGATAACATGGTTAAGTTCATCTGGAAGCCTTCTTGTAAAAGAAGGGTCCTCGACTATAGTGGAACCATTCAGCATGTTTGTTCTCCTTGAACTATAACCTAAAGATGACTTAAAAGTTTGGGAAATTACTGTTTTCTATTTTTTTGCAGAAACAAAAGTATACGTTGGCAACTTAGGAACAGGTGCTGGTAAAGGAGAACTTGAAAGGGCTTTTAGCTACTATGGACCCTTACGTACCGTGTGGATTGCACGAAACCCTCCCGGATTTGCATTTGTTGAATTTGAAGACCCAAGGGATGCTGAAGATGCTGTTCGTGGTCTAGATGGAAAGTACGTAGGAATACAAATTTTATTTGTGAAATAAGTTCCATTTTTGTAGTGGGATTAGTATGTTGACTGAAATGTTTTGTTGTTGTTAGGGTGATCTGTGGTTCCAGGGTTAGAGTGGAGTTATCAACTGGTATGCCTCGTAGGTCTCGCTATGATAGACCTCCAGCACGACGACCATTTGATCCTAATGATAGATGTTATGAATGTGGCGAGAAAGGTCATTATGCTTATGATTGTCATCGCTATAGTCGTCGTCGGAGAAGCAGGTATGTAAGATACGAGTAATTTGTTTTTAAATTGTATGTAGTTTTGGTTAAAATAAAATCACAATTTTTTTAAATGTTTTAATTAATATTGGTATGTTACATTTGTTTATATTTTGTATTAATATGTTAATATGTTAATAATCAACCTGGTCAAAACCTTTCAGGTTTCTTCGTTTGAGTCAGTCGCCTTGATTCAGAATGTCACGAGCCTTATGATTTCATGCTGAGGCGCCTTGCAAATCCGACAATTAAGATCCTCCTAGACCTTGAGGTGATCAGCATAAGAGGCCAGATCCCCTCGAGCCATCTACACCTAGCTTCACCTTATTCTTAAAGGGCAGAAAAATTGAGACGGTGACCGCCGTAACAGTAAATTTGGCTTTCAATTGGGCCCCCCTCCGGTTTAAAAAGAGGAACACCAGATTGACCACATTCCCACCTAGAAAAATCTTCTTGCGTCAATCAAGCCTCACCTGGCTCATTTGGCTGTCAGTTTGATCGTCGTTAGATTGAAGAAAACACCTAGATGCAGCGATCGGCTATAGATACTTCTAGATCGTCTAGATCTGCTAGACCTTGGGCCAAAGAGGGTCGACCTGCAAACTTGCAAGGTTTATTTTAAATACACATTACAGTGTTTTATATTATTATGTAATTCTAAATGTTATACATTTTAACATCTTTATTAGGTAGTAAAAATACTCAAGACAAATAGGCCCTAAATTTTTCAACTGACGGACACTAATTTTTAGATAGCTGATGTTTTGGCTTCAGCGAGGGCTCACATGCTAATTGTTGAATATATAATCTAATTTTATTCCTCTAACAAAAATTAGGTCACGATCTCGGTCTCATTCAAGGTCCAGAGGAAGAAGATACTCTCGCTCACGCAGCCGAAGTCGTGGCAGGAGGTAAGCATTTACATATGTGGAACAGTCTATCTTTAGTAGGCAAAGAATAGTATAACCAAGTCTTATTTCCATTTAGATCCAGATCTATCTCAGCTCGCAGATCTAGATCTCTGTCTCCTCGTAGATCCAGATCTATATCGCCACGTAGATCCCGTTCAGGTTCTTTAAAGAGATCAAGGTAATTTGGCTAATATGATTGTAAAATAGGCAGTTCTTAAGTTTTTGAATTCTGAAATGTTTCTATGTGTGCAAATCAGGTTAATAGCTGTCAGTATTGTGAATTTTATGTGTATAGTACAGGGAGTCCTCAACTTACAACCATTCATTTAATGGTTGTTTGAAGTTACAATATCACTGGAAAAAGGAATTATGATTCTCTTTCACACTTAATGGCCATTGTAGCACTCTCATGGTCACATGATCAAAATTTAGATGCTTGGTAACTGACTCATTTATGATCCAGTGTCCTGGGGTCATGTGATCAGAAAGTTTGGGCTCAATTGTGGTCATAGGTTGAGGATTCTACCACTAGTGGATGATCTTTTTGCATCTTGTGCAAAATGCATTTGTTAAGGATTAAGTCATTTATGCAATGTTAGGATGAATCTCTGGCTCAGCCAAGTGGTGGCTTGCTTTTGGAGTAATTTGGTGATTAAGAATGCTCACGTTATATAATTCATGCTGGCTTTCCTGCTTTGAATGCTCTTAGTGTACTGAACTATACTATTCACCAGATTGCTTATAATGAGAATGAATTGCCAGATACTCTGGAAATCAGTAGCATCCATTACCACATTGAGAGATTACCCATCATCAGTAGGTGCAGGGAGTACTAGCATCCAGTGGTGTGAGAAGCTCTTCACTGATACAGTGAAAGATAATGGAGCATAAAAATAAGGATTAGTGAGCCTGTCACTCAAGAAAACAAGCCATATGAAGCCTTGCAACTGTCATGCCCCTGTCTGAATCAGATTCGGAGAAGGAAGCCAAACAGTTGGCAGGGAGTAGGAGTGTGGCTATGTTGCTGTGGAAGAAAGTGAGGAAGGGCAAAGTCCAAGGGAGAGTGAATTCAGAGGAAGACCTAGGCCCACCCCCTCTTCATCCTAGGGAGGAACAGAAGAGAGCAACATGGATTGCATGGCTTATGGGGGAGCAAAGGGCCCTGATTCCCTTCATTAGCTGCAGCTGGGAACAGTGCAAGCTGTGTGCAGCAAGCTGTTGGGAGCAAACATTACTTTTTCCTGTGTTGTCGTGGCTTATCTGTGTTCATGGCATCTTCCCAACTGAGTTTTGCCATGCTTTCAAGTTTGAAATTCCTGCTCCTGCCCTGCCAAACTAATTGCTTCAGTTTGGTTTGTTTGGACTTTAAGTTAGTTTGTGTGTACCTTGTTTTGGACTGAATTTTCTAGTCAGGCTGTTACTGGGAGAGTTTATCTCCAGCCTGAAGGTAACCTGGGCATTGGGGGCAAAGTTGGAGATAATAAAGGGACTCTTATTGCTTATCTGACTGGGTTACCTTTGTGATACGTCCGGGATCATCACAGCAACTAGATCTGTTGTGACAGAGTGAGGAGAATTAAATACTTTTGTTGCCAAATTACTTCTTGGGGGGGGGCACCATATAGAGAGTTCTATAGATTTGGAGTCTTAAAATTTGCAGTTTCTTGCTGTTTTAAACTAAAAGAGCTCCTGGAAAATAGTTGCCTGTATATTATAGCTGCCTCTGTAGAATCTTGCTTTAATGGCATATTTCTATTTACCCAAGTAGCAATCTGGAATAATGACATTTTTTACCTATATGAATATTCAGGAACTGGAACACTAATATTGAATTCCTTTTTTTTTTTTTTTTTAAATCCAGGTCTCGATCAAGATCCAGGTCCAGGTCCAGGTCCATTTCACGGCCCAGAAGCAGGTAAATTTCCGTTTGTGGACATTCAAAGCAATTAAATGCGAAATTTGTTCTGGGTAGCTAACCCTGAACCACTGCTAGACAGTTTAGCTTAATTGAAAATAACAGATTCTTCATTTATCTTGCTGTATTTGAAAAAAAAAATTGCCTGTCTTTGTATATGTGCACATGCACACAATTTATAATATGAAGACAACTGTATTATGAACTTTGTATTTGTGGAGTGTCATTTTTGTTCCAAATGTTTGATATAGAAACCATTGCAAAATATTTACAGTCA